TGGAGGGCCCACTGAATGGGCGGTAATGGAAACACGTTCGGGGGGGTATGAATTATTGGCAAATGTGTACAAAACCAATTCATTTGACTTTTCCACATATGCAGCTGCCAACCAGCGTAATTTATGCAAAAGGGTAAAGTTGGAAAACTTGGCTTGTTCAATTCAAATCAAGTGATAAAAAATTGGTGTATGGCCCACATTGATTTGATTGGAAAAATGTATTTTTAGGTAAAAATGGGGGCCAAACATACTCTAACTAGAATTTCTCTCTATACTCTCTTATTAGGTTATTAAAAAAAAAAAAATCTAAAAATCAAACCTAGTCTATCGGACCAAAACATGATTATTTTCAAAAGTCCAATGATAACATTTTCAATTTTTTTTTTTTATATAGAAACTCTTTCAATCCAAAATTAGAGGTACCCAAATATCAAATATTCAAGAACAAAATATTTTATCATGTCATAAATAATCTTTTTAAAACAAAGACAGAACAATAGTATAAGGAGGGTGTATTTAATTGAAACTTTTAATGACTTTTTGAGATTTAAAAAGTTTAGGGGTATTCAATTGAGACTTTTTGAAACTCTCTAAAAGTCATGGTGTATTCAATTAAGGTTTTTATAGACTTTTAAAAAGTCTCTAAATGTTACGGTGTATTCAATTAAAACTTTTTAGAGATCTCTATAAGTCTTATGGTATTCAAATTTTAATGACTTCTAGAAACTTTTATAAAAGTCTCTAACGTACTAATTTTTAAGCAGAAAATACTCATATAATATCTTAAAATTTGTCTCTCATTAATCACGAGATTTTGGGAGTTTTTTAAAAATGCATAAAAAACCAATATGCTTAAATAAGACTTTCAAAAAAAAAAAAAAAAAAAAACTTTTTTTTCAATCTTTCTTTCTTTTAATCTTTTATGGACATGTATAATTAAAACTTATTTTTTTTATTTATTATATTCCATTTATTTTCTTTCTCTCTCTTATTATTTATCTCTATTTCTATAAAAAAAAAAAATTGGATTCTTATAACTTTTTTTTTCTTTTTTCATTTCATTTTTTGAGAAAAATACCTATTTTTTTATTAAATTATGAAAATTTATAATTAAATTTAAATATATTAATTTTTTATTTATTTTTAAAAGTATACTATACTAATAATATTAAATCCTATATATATGTATACTTTTGATTATTAATTATTTAATTGAAGTCTTAAATTTTTATTTTTTCAAATTCTTTTTTATTATATGGGAAGAAGAAGTGAAAGTAAAAGGGGAATTATGGGAATTAACATATCGTATGTGAGAATCTCACACCTGATCGATGTGAATTCTATTTCAAATGAAAGTCTTCAAAAGTCTTTGGAATTCCACAAAAATCTATAAAATTTTAAAATGAAAATCCATAGAAGTCTACGAAAAACTTCCATTAATTCCATACAAATCTTTAAAAGATCCACGAAATCTACAAAAGTCATCACTTAAAAAAAGTCCATCAAAGTTTTCAAAAGTCCCAATTGAATACACCC